GCCTCCCAGAGAGCTAGGATTACAGGCGTGAGCCACCGCGCCCGGCCACTTATGGATTATTAAAGAAGAAATTGGAATGAAATTCAGGTGCCATTTCCAGTTAACCAATGAGTCTTTAATTTGGGGGCAATGATGGGGGAGTGTAATTCACTGATTTTTTTTTTTTTGATTTCAAAATATTAACAGGGTACAAATGTTCTTGGTTACATGGATCGCCTTTGTAATGCTTAAGTCAGGGCCAGAAGTGTGCCAATCACACAAATAGTGTTCATTGTCCCCGTTAGGCAGGCTTTCGCCTCTCCCCCTCCTCCCCTCTCCCTTGATTGTCTTTTTAAATAAACTAACATTGAGCACTTTCAGCCTGGAAAAGAGCTCTAGAGTTTGATGAAGGTATTTAAATTGATAAAGATCAAAACCTTCCAGTCAGAGTGAGCTTTGAGGTGCTCTGAGTGGCTTTGGTGTTTTTAAAGTTTCAACTTTTAAATTAATTATACTGTTGAGGAAGATTAGAGGCATTTATTCAAAAAGGGGTTTAGGGGCCCAAATTCAGCGCAGTTTTTGAGCCTCCCAGATACCAATCAGGACGCATTGTCTATGATCCCACTAGGTTCATATCACTGTCCAGTACTTTCTCTCATACTTGGTATAGTGGCCAAGCTATAACCTCCCTAAGAGTTTCTTAACTAGAGCTGTTTAGAGACAAAAAGAGGTGTATAGTAGCATTCAGGAGCAGGAGCGGTGGGCCCACCTTGCTCATCCAGCCTGTGTGGCTTGCCCTCTCCAGCTATTTCAGTCATGCCAGGACTTGGAACAACTGACCTCCACACGGTTTCAAATACGAGGCAGACAAGGCCAGTTTTACCCAGTGCCCGTCTGCTAAGAGATATCAGATGTGTTCTTAGTTATGTTTCCCGTGTAAATAAGGTTGAAGGATTAAAAACCAAGGAACAAAAGGTGAGTTGTTTTTTTCTTTGTCATTCCTTTCAACCAATTTGTTTTATATCACTTTCATAATTAGTGTTTCACTGTTGTTTTGCATGGTCCCAATTAGCTATAATATACTGAGGAAAGTCAGATTTTTAAAATGTCAACAGTTTCCAAATGGAATCTGTCAAAATAATCCTTGCCTTGGACACTTATCCCTGGAATTCTGCTTTATTGTTGGCAGCTTCATAGGCCAAATACAATCTTATTAGTTCTGCAGTAATTCATGCCAGATGAATTATCTTTCCTTTAGGTCAGGTGCCTTGAACAATTGTTTTTTTGTAGGCCACATTTTATAAAATGATATTTGATGCAACATTTTGAGTTATGAGTGAAAGCTGTGGCCACTTGTTGGGTTACTTTTCTGCCTGACTGTGCCCCTCAGAATTCTTTTACATGTTTTAGAAGCCATTTATGTGATCTGGAATTTCTCTACTTGCATAGATGATTCCTTTAAAATTACAGATGACATCTAATTTTAGGTGGTGACTTTGATCGGAATATAAAGGTATTTGTGTCCCAAGAGAGCAGAATCATTTTATAGCTGAGTAAACTCTTAGGCTGAAAGAAACTGTGAACCACTCCCTGACCCCCATCCAGGGTTTAGCAACAGCATGTTCACAGCAGGCACCAAAACCTAGTTTCTTCACTCCAGTCCAGTGTGTAATCTTTTCACCAGGTATGCTGCTCTCTTGTTCATAAGTAAGTGTTTTAAGGAGGGGAAGAGAGTTTTTGCTGACCTACTATGTGTTAGGTGCTAGTATATGTACTTGACATATATTCCTTTACTGCTAAGGAATTCAGGCCGCTCCCTCTTTTCTGTCCAAGTTTGAAATCAACAGAAAGAAATACCTGTTTTAGGCCGATGGAAGATACAGTGAATAGCATGGGTCTGACCTTGCCAGAGGGCTTATGAGTCCTCCCCTGAGTTGGATGGACTTAGCCTAATCCCTGGTAGTCCCTGGCCTCACTGGGTATTGGAGGCCTCTTCCATGGAGAGAGGCCCCTTTTAGTGTGTGCAGAGAGCAGAACAAAATATGTGCTGTCTGCAAGCAGGCAAGCCGTAGGAGCAAGTGCATTACCTGGTTCCCTTTCCAATTTACCACCTCCCTCAGGAGGAGCGAGGGAAGGCGAGTGAGGTTAGGACTGTTTCTCTAATGGATGCCCAGCCCCCCACCCCCATTGGAAACATAGAACCAGGGAAAGGTTCTATGTCTATCCATATGACATTACCAAGTACCTCTCATTTTTCCTATTTCATAAGTGAAAAAGTTGAGGTCTAGGCAGATTAAGTGATCTGTGATGTGGTTTGAGAGCACAATGTCTCCTGTAGTCATCAATTTCCAGCTATGGGATTTGGGACAATATACTTAATCCCTCTTGTGTTAGTTTCCTTATTGATAACATGGAGACAACCGTAATAGTACCCAAACTAAGAAGGCGGTTTTGATGTTTAATAGAGATGATACATATGAAGTGGCTAGCGTGGTGCCTGAATATGCTCAAGCTCCACAGATTAGTACATTTTTAATAAATGCTGGCTGATGGAATTTGAGCATGAGCATAGATTAGCAGCCATCCACAGCTGGGAAAGCAGTTTAAGATACAGATTATCCTGCTGGGGAAGCAGCCCCTCATGTAACTAAGGCTGAGGTGCTGTTAACTGTCTCATGTGGTGCCTTCTCATCTCAGGGGTCAGGGTCTGGCGTCCACTTGCTGCAAGCAGGCAGGCTGCCGGTCAGGGCAGAGAGAGGCAGAGACAGAAGAGCCAGCCTGTGCAGAGCACTGGGCACTGTTCCAGGGGCGTCCCATGAGGTGGTGGCTCTATCTGAATTTTGTAGACAAGGCACCTAAGTCTTGGGGAAAGCGAGGCACTTGCCCAAAGGCATACAGGTGGTCAGTAGTGCAGTGAGGTTTCAACCTGGCCCTTCTGACTCAAACTTTCCTGGGGCCCAATTCACAGAGCCCACAGAGGGCCCCGAACACTAGGGAATTGTTGTTCCCTCCCAGGGATAGTCCTGAGTTGCTGCATGCGGCATTCTTCTGCTTGGTCCTGCTAAATGTGAGTGCTTTTCTTTCTCTCAGTTTATCTTCTATTTTGACTGATTTACTATTTTTCTAACATGATGTTTGGTAGTGTTTATCCTGAAACCAAGCTAACAAGGCAGTTGAAGTATTTGTGTTCCATTTGAAACAACAGGCGTGTGAAACTGTTGAACCTTCCTGCCAGCCTGCGGCCACACAAAATGAAAAGCTTGCTGGGTCAGAACGTGTCGGCCAAGAGTCCCTTCATCTATTCACCAATTATCGCGCACAACCGTGGAGAAGAGCGGAACAAGAAAATAGGTAGGACCATTTATCCTGAGTTTCTAACTGTGCTCTGTCACCTGATTTCCAATGGTTTTCCTAGATTTTTAGAACAGAACCTCAGGCCAATTCATTCATGTGTGTGTGCACACGTGCATGTGCGTATACATTGTCATATAACTTTATTTGGCTTTTGCTGCCTTTGTCAGACGGTTGCCCATAGATATGATATTTAAAAATCTATTTCATAAAAGGTGATTTTGTGGAAGTTCTAGAAACCAGAAAGACTTCTGTTAACTGAGACTTTTATGGACTACGTAAAAGTGATAATTGGAGATCAGAGTGATTTTTCCAAGTGCTGAAGTGACTTCTGAATCATCAGAGAAAGATTAAGGGTTGAATTGTGTTCAGGATGGACTGTGGATGAGGTCATTTTATTATTTTCACTTTTGAACGCTGCCAATCAGGATAGCCCATCCTGGGGTCACACTGAGTGATGGGAGAGATTGGGAGTAGAGCACTTGCTCTTGGAAATCTCTCCCGTGCTTTTCTGTGTCAAAGCTCTTGGCCACTTCCCAGCTTGACTTGCTCATGTCCTTCCTGCAGCAGGCCTAGGGCTCGTGTGCACCACCTGCCACTGTCCCTTGGTGTCCTTCCCGAAGCCTGGCTGTGGCACGGAGCCCCCCACCTCCTCACTGCCACAAAGACAAACCCAGGGGCCCTTTGCATTTGGGATTGTGATTGCTGGTCATCGATGATCACTGCCCATTATGCCTACTTGTCACTGTGACAGACCTCCAGGGCTGTCAAGAGGCTGGCTCCTGGTGTACATCAGTTGCTGTGACAACGGCCAGCAGAGTCCATTGCTTATGGCCTCCAACTTTAAGAAGGGTAACATGGCATCAAGTGCCCGGCAAAAAAAATGGATGAGTCCTAAGCCTGAGCTTACTGAAGAGCAGAAACAGGAAATCCTTTCGATCTCTTCGATGCTGACAGAACTGGGACTATAGATGTTAGGGAACTTAAGGTGGCAATGAGGGCCCTGGGCTTTGACCCCAAGAAAGAAGAAATCAAGAAAATGGTAAGTGAAATTGATAAGGAAGGGACAGGGAAAATGAATTTCAGTGACTTTTTGACTGTGATGACTCAGAAGATGTCTGAGAAAGATACCAAAGAAGAAATCCTGAAAGCTTTCAAGCTCTTTGATGATGAAACTGAGAAGATATCATTCAAAAACCTGAAATGCGTGGCCAAGGAGTTGGGTGAGAACCTGACTGATGAGGAGCTGCAGGAAATGATTGACAAAGCTGCTTGAGACGGAGATGGAGAGGTCAACGAGCAAGAGTTCCTGTGCATGATGAAGACCAGCCTGTATGGAGATCGGCGTCTTTTCTACCGCAAGCACATGTGATGAGATGTAGTGCCTGCCACTGTGTGAAATCTGGCTTTTGAGAACACAAACTTTTTCCCTCACTGACCTCCTTGTATAACTTTAGTAGTGACCTTGAATCTATTTTAGACTTTTGGAAGTGTTCTTTGATATTAAAGTTCCTTGTAAAGTAACCTGCTGATTACTTTAATTCTCAAAAACAAAACAAGAGCACATTAGAGTGGAGAAGAGGGTCTTAAAGCTTTGATCACCTGCCATTTGCCTTGCATTGCTTCATTCTGGTCACATATTCCTACGTGTATGCAAACATAGAACAACTTCTTAGACAAGCACATGTTGTACCCATGTCACCACAAGCAGTGGTCATTCTTCAGTAGTTCCAGTTTTTAGTTGATGTCTGAGTGTAATTTTCTCTCTTGTAAAATTCAGTGAACTCTTGCACTGGCATTTGGATATGTGTTAATGCTATTTGTTTTGTCTTAAAAATAAAACCTTTCTTAGTAGAAAAAAAAAAAAGAGCTGGCTCCTGCTTCATGATTGCTGATTCCCTCTTAGGAGGGTAAGTAGAAGACCTGCAAAACTTGCACTCTGCTTTTGATATTCTGTGCTTCCTTCTCCTTCTGTTTCTTTCTTAATTTCTACTTTTGATTTCTATACCCTCAATTTAGGAAAAAGGCATTCTGACTCCTTCTTCCACGATGCTGTTCTTTCCAGGTTTCCTGTTGCATGTACAAGACCACCTACACCCTGGATCATGGGCTGCGGCACTCCTGACCTGTCCCTGCTCACTCACCATCCACATTCTGCCTGACTTTTCATTCTCATCTCCTGCCACCCTCACTCTGCTCCTCGAGTTAATGACTTCTTTCTGGTCCTTGGATGTAACGAGCTTGTTCTGGGCTCAGGCATTTGTGCTTGTTCTTCCTTCTGCCTGGAACTTGTCCCCCACTGTCACTGGCTCTATTCATATGTCTCCTGCTCAAAGGGACATTCTCTGATCCTGGTACCTCCAGGCCACTCCTCCCGTCACCTCTAGCTGTACTGCCTGCGTTTCCTCTTCATAGCACTTCTCTCCAACTCCAATCTGTGTTTATCTGTTTATGTTTTCCCTCCTGCAATATACTATGAGGCCAGGAACTCTGTCTTGCTCCCTGGTATATCCCTAGTGCCTAGAACAATGATGAAAGAAAGAATGAATGGAGTAGATATTATGAATCCCATTTTATAGATAAGGAAAGTGAGATTCAGGAAGTTTAAATGCCTTGTCCAAGAACTCACAGAACTTAGGTCTCACTACACAATTCCATGGTCTTTGCAGGGCACCGTGAGTTTAAGGCAGGAAGGACAGTATGAACATTGTGCATAGTACATTATCTTAATAAGCATTTCTTAACTAGCACTGAAATTTCTTAGCCTCTATAAGGGTCTTATAATAAACTTCATTAAAAATTTGTAAACTATCTGAACACCTTAAAAATAAGGTGTTTTGGAAGAGATAAAGTCATTTACTAGATAAAGGGCATAACTGAGGTAGGAGTACTAAAATGACTTTGTGCATTTTTAAATGGTATCATTTCTTTTATTCAAAATGTGCTTTATAAGAGGCTATCACGTATCGGCTCATTTAATTTTCCCAGTATTTTTGGAGGAATTAACTCCCTTTTGCAGATGAAGAAATGACTTTCTAAAAATTACTCAACTATTTTGTGGCAAAGCTAAATGTTGAACTCACATCTTCTCAGGCCCAGTATACCATTCTTGTTAGTACGCTCTGGTTTTCTCTAATGTGCATAGCACATATGACAGAGGCCTAAATTAACTATATCACACAGTCCCCACCCTCGACACAGTTTCCCCTTCAGTTCACGCACACAAGACACAAACACATGAGAAGCTGAATATCAAGACAAAACATAAATGAATGTTCTCTAAAACTGCAGCGCTGTTGCCAGGTGTACCTGTGTACTTGCATAAACAGTAAACACTGGTTAGACTGGGAGCAGGCCCTGCAGGGCCCTGAGAAGGCATCTGGAGGCTCAGAAGCAGCCTTGCCTCCGGGGAGTGGGATGGGCTCCCCAGGGTGTGGCTCTGACTGTTCTAGCTGTTCATTATTAGAACAAGAAAATAAAGGAAGAGACATGGGGTAATGTCCTTAAAATATGGCAGCCAATACTGAATTTTGGGAAATTTCTGAAAACATGAGCCCTAAGTATATAGCCTATTGCAATTATCTGTGTATATGTGTTGTATGTAGGTATGAGTCTTTGAAATTCCATTTTTAGTATACTGATTTTGAAAGGTACCAACTTTGTTTCCCCTACCACTGCTTCTCTGCTCTGGAGAATATGTGGAGGTGACGGGAAGTGTAGGAGATGGGTGGACATCGTGGGCAACCAGGAAGAGCCAGATGGTGTTCCACAGGTACACATGCCAGTGAGCAGGAGAGAGTAAAACCAGTTCTGTCCCTGCTGTGTTTGGGGCATCGTTGCCCGGCCCCCTGCGGAACTCCTCCTTTCACCTCATTGGAGGCAGGAGACACGGTCCCGTTCTGAGTCGGCAGGCAGGCTGCTCTCCAGCGCCTCTTTACCCAGTGGACCTGGGCTAGCTGTCACAGAAGTGCTGAGGCTCTTCTCTCTGGGACTTTCTGAGGGTCTCTGGCTGGTTTTTTTGGGTCTTATTAAGGTTGGTGGTAAGCTTTCTCCTTAAAGAACTTTAAAGGAAGAAAAACTTCTGGAGGTGATTTAGAGCACTGGAGGCGTGAGACCTCTCTTCTGAGGACCAGTGATGTAATGTGTGGGGCCCAGTGCAAAAGGAAAACTTGGGGTCCTTGTTCAAAAATTACTAAGAATTCAAAGACAGTGACAGCAGAGCAGTAAACGAGACATGGGCCTCTGAGCGCCATGTGCCGTTGACGGTGTGGATTGCAGGCCTGTGGAGCCAGCCTGCCTCTCTGTTTTTCCTTTTCCGTCTTAAGGAATTATCAAAGCTTCTTTTTGTGAAAATGATGCTCTGCATTTGCTGAAGAGGGCTTAAGCAGGCACTATTTAGTGATTTTCATAACTTTGATGCTGACGCTGCAGGCATTATTATATTCTCTATTTCCAGATGAAAAAATTGAGCCTGAACAAATAAATATAAATTACCTGCGTTAGATCAGAGAGCTCGTGAGTAAGTGGCGGGGCCCAGTCTTCATCCCAGGTTGTACGAGTCAGTGCTCAGGGATTTTTCCCTTTATAATATGGCTTTTCACCATAGTAAGAAGTACCTGCTCATCTTGGCTGAGGATAAATTCAGTGGATGACATAGGATTTTTTTCCTGAGATATAACAGAAGGTTCAGCCAGAATGCATATTATTTGTTGCATACCGATGGGTAGGAAAAGATAATTTATATTCTCTGGCTTCTGATATCTTTTTGACAATATATACTGATCAGTGAGTACCTGCCTGAAGGCTTGATGAATCACATATCTTTACCCTAAATTTATAATCTCTGTAAATGAATCTTTGTGTATAACTGGTGGAGGTATCACCACAGTAGGGGGCACAGAGTTTTAAGGATGAGCAAAGCCTTGAGGGCAGTTTTTGAGACCATTTTCCACTCTAACTTGGAATAATTGACTAGTCTTTGTGTCTGTGTGTTGGCTGTCGTGGCCATTGTCTGAGCTACAGGCTATGCAAAGACGATTGCAACACAGATGCTGAGCTTGAGCATGGTTGGGTGAGTAGGCCTTTGTGGTGTTACCAGGCTTAGTGCCAAGGTTGGTGGAGGCAGTGTGGTGGCTTGGAAAGGCCGTGGCTGTCAGATAGACTTGGACTGCAGCCTGGCCCTTGCAGCTCTCACTTCCCACTGTGTGACCTAGGACAACTGATCATGCCTCTCTGGGCTGCAGTTGTGCTGTCTGAACAATGGGGACATTGGAAGCCAACCGGGAGGGTCATTCGAGGATCCAAGGAGATGATGTTTCTAAAGTCCCTGGCAGCCATACAGATCATGTTTGCAGTAGCAGTTGTGTGCACTGTGCTAGGTACTGGGGCTGCAGCAGTAAATCAGGAGTGCTTCCTGCCAAGTGGTCCATACAGTGTCAGAAAGAGATGAGCTTGTCAACAGAAGCACCCGCCCGATGCCATGGGTCCTCAGATAGCAACATGCACAGCATGCAGTGCCGATGGGATGGGGAGGGCCTGAGACAGGAGGTGTTTAATAGCTGCTAATTCCTGTCCTTCCCACTGTTTCAGGGAAAAAGTATCAAAGAAGGGGCATCACTGTGTGCTGTGACACACTAAGGATTGGAAAGGGGATTATCTCCATCTTCAGGCAAAAATAACTTTTCATATAATCAGTAATTTATCTCAGAATTACCTTTTAGTAGACAAGGACCATCTAAGTAGAAATTATTCCTTTCAGCACCCCAGAAAATGATTTTTAAAAAATGATTATTTTTTGACCATGACAGAGAAAACAATTCCTTAGTTACCAGGCATAGCAACTTGTTTAAAAAGAATGAGCTTTTTTGTCTGTGGTGAAGAGTAGGCTGGGGCTTGACCACCTGCAGACCCGGGCAGGCTGGGTGAAGCTGCTGGGGATGGGGCAGTGGGTGTGGAGATGGGTGACGGAGGGACAAGACCTGAGTTTCCAGAGCCCCAAGCGGTGAAGCAGTAGGGTGCAAAGAGCATAGGTTTTAGAGCCAGACAGACTTGGGGTTGAATCCTAGCTCTCTCATTTATCAGGGCCACAAGATGGGCAGGCAATTCAACCTCTCAGGGGCCGTTTTCCTTTTTTAGAATGAGAATAATAATTGTTCTACTGACCAAGTAGACCTTGGTTATTCACTGCATTGTCCAGAGGCTCAAATGAGTACATAGCTGGGCAAGCACTTTGTAAATTAACTCACATGGTGGTCTCTTTATTAGTTCATGCCATTTCAACATGCCAACTTTGGGTAGTATGTCATAGATTTGGTGGAGCCAGTCTTAATCTCTGTGCAGGGTGCAAAGTGTTTGGAAAAAGCTCTGAGTTGAAAACATGGTTATGAAAGCTCAGTGAAAGTTGAAGAATTCTGGTCAATAAATGTCCGTGTCTACTCTAGAAAAAGCCCTACACCACCCTTTTAGCCACCTGTATCTGTTCTAGATATCACTTCAAGTTCAAAGACCTGGGCTTGAATCCCTGTTGCACCACTGGCTGTATGATTCCTAGGCAAATTTGTCAACCTTTGTGGACCTTGAGTGTAACAAGGTCTTGTAACAATGGGCTTACAATACCTATGTAATGAAGTAATTATGAAGAGTAAAGAGATGACCTGCTTGAAAGTGCCTTGGACCTAAGGCATGCCCAACACCTGTTAATTGATTCTGAAATAACTTCTGGTTTGCCAAATGGTTTATCTTCAAAGGAGGAAGGATCAATGGAAATGGGTATGGGAGCTGTATTAGCTTCTATTGCTTTGTAACGAATTACCAAAACCTTAGTGGCTGAAAATAACACAAATTTATTTTCTCACTGTATGGGTCAGGAGTTTCAGCTAGGTCCACTGCTCAGGGATTCACAAGGCTGAAATCCAGGTGTCAACTGGGGCTGTGTTCTCATCTGGAGGCTCAGCTGAGGAAAGTCCTGCTCTTAGGAATCCTCAGGTTGTTCTTTTCCTTGTGGTTGCATAACCGAGGTCCCTGTTCTCTTGCTAGTGGTTCACTGCTCTCAGTTCCTAGAGGCCTCTCTTGGTCCTTGCCACATGGTCCCCTCTGTGGCCCTCTCAGGAAGGATATGGTCTTCTGTAAGGACTCCCCGAATAGAACAGTCTCATCCAGGACAATCTTCATTTAGTTTAACGCAAAGCCAACTGGTTGGGGACCTCAATTACACAAGTATATCCTTTCACCTTTGTTATATAACATGACCTAATTGCCATACTCACACTCAGTGGGAGGGGATTACCCAGGGCACACACACTGGGGCATGCACACCAGGGCTGGAAGGCTCAGAGGTCATCAGAATTCTGGCTTCCCACAGGTGCTGAATTGCAGTTGGCCTGAGAGCGAGCTGGGAGGAGAAGCCACTCTCTTCTCTCACAGTCTTGGGGCTAGGGGAAGTCGTGCTCTGTGGCACTCACAGGTGACTCCAGTGCCCTCCTCCCCTGCCAGCCTCTGGGCCAGTGAAACGTGATGTGCCTTACAGCTCAACACCAAGAACAGTGCTGTCTGGATTGATTTTGGTTTTGTAAACTGCACTTGGCATGCCGACGTGAATGCAGCCTGCAGAAGGCGGCGAGAAGCGTCATTCACATGGCATCAAAGTGGCAGTGACAGCTGCTTTGCTTTGTTTCAGAGGAAGCTGGCAGAAAAGCCAGCTTTGAATTGTTCCTCTCAATGTGGTCATGGTGCCTGATGCCTTGTTGGAAAAATAAATTACTGGAAGAATAATCTGAAACCCTGTGGAAAGTGAAAAAATGCCAACTAATACATAGAATCTTCTGTGTGTGTGTATTTTCTAGATTTCCAGTGGGTTCAAGGAGATGTCTGTGAAGTTCAGCTGATGGTATATAACCCAATGCCATTTGAACTTCGAGTTGAAAATATGGTATGTATCACCAGTCATTTGACCTTTTTGGGCTAAAGCACCAACTTCTCATTAAAATATGTTTTTTACTTAATATTTGAAGCACACATCTTAGGACATGTGTCTGTTTTTATATTTGTTTTTCCAAAGATTATAAACTTACTGTGAGTGAAGACCATGTTTTGTCATTGCTCTGTCTTTGGGCTTGGTACTCAATAAATATTTGAATCAACAAAGAAACCTCCTATTTGAACACACACTGAGCTTAGTTGATTGGACGTAAGATTTGAAATAATCATTTTGAAGTTTATATGAGATTAGTACTAGTTACAAAGTCTACATTTTGCCAACTACTCAATATCACAATTATTTTATTGTTGCAAGATGATAAGGTGATCAGGGCCCAAGGGAAGAACAAGTGGTAGAATAAGAAAGTAATTACTGCACTACTACTCTGAGGTTTCTCTCGTTTGAACTCCTGATATTTTGTTTCTGTGCTTTGTGTAGGGTGTTAAAGATGCACTTTGCAGTCCCCTTCATTGGTACTCCTCACCTGATCCCATAGCTGAGGGAAGGAGATTTGTGCTGGCTTTCCAAGTTAATTCTGTGTTTCCCGGGCAGACCCTTCCCCACAGCAGTGTGGATTCCATCCCTGCGGTCTCCTCTGCATTCCTACATGGTACTGCCATGTCGCTTTTCAGCGACATGCAAAGGATGGTGCTGCCATGTTGGTGGTTTCTTTTAGAGATTTTTGACTGGTGTTCAGGGTAACAGGCAGGCTCTCCATACAGGTATTGTGCCAAATGCCCATGCCACGTGTCAGGCCCTGGGCAAGGCTCTGAGGGGAGTGAGATGGACAGGCTCTGGTGTTTGCTCTGCCTGTGGTCAGGGCTGTGTTGGGGGTGCAGGAGGCGTTACAGGACCGATGTGAGGGACATCTGTCTGTGCGTGCAGAGTCTGGGAAGGCATCCTGGGACAGACGCGACAGTTCAGCTGGGGCTGTAAGGCTGAGCTGTAGTCCGCCAGGCAGACTGTTTGGTAGTTATTTAGATGCCGCATAGGCTTCCAGCAAGTGGCATAGTTTTCCAAAATCTGTTTGAGCTCTTAGGAGCTGAGCTGAATGTTAAGCTAACTGCAGTCTTGAGGCCCACTCAGGATGAGTACTTCTCCTCCTCCTACCGTGCAAAGACATGTTGGCATGAGGATCAGGCCTTTCCAGTGGCTTTGTCTCTTGTTCTAAACAGGGAATAATACTTGTTTAGAGAATTTTCCCCAAAGTGGCTAAAGTGGCATATGCCTGCTGCTCTTTTTTACATATTTTTGGTCTTAAAAATTAGCTTTCGTTTTTATCTGCTTTAAAAGTAATATATGCTTATTATAAAAAATTAGGAAGAGAAAAGAATAAAATAAAAAGTACCACATAGAGATAGTCCAGAAATCATGGTCAGAATTTTAAAAACTAAATCATGGAATATTTTAAACACAAGAAATGTTACAGGGAAGAATAATCACTCACATATCCACCATCCATATTTAACAAATGTTAACAGTTGGCCATATTGCTTTAGCTATTTTAAAAAGAAACACATACCAGCATGTTTGCCTAGAGACAATTGGCTTCTCTGCTTCCACCCTTGCCCGGCTACATCTGTTCCACACATGGATCATTTCACACCTTTGCTCCAAGTCTGGGCATGAGGTGTGCTCATTGCTGAGAGAGTGGCTTTGCTTCTGGGTGCTTTCTGTAGACAAAGTTAGGGACAGTCTGCACTCCTGTACATATACATGTAAATGTACATGTGCATGTATGTCTATACACATACATCTGTATATAGACACATGCACATATACCTGCATATACACAATAGAAATGCATGTTTTATACATCCTGAGTTCACACTGATACTTTCAATTCCAACACATCTCCACAGGGTTCTTTCTTGCCTTCCTCTATTCCATATTTGTGTCCTTTTTTCCAGACTGAGAACTTGGGCTCACAACGTCAACATATTTACTTATATGCTCAATCCTGTAATACATCTAAGTTTCAGAGTTGCTTTGACTATACCACAGCAGAAAACCAACTCACTAAAATGGATCTAGAATTTCTCCCTTTCTTGAG